ATATATTGATCTTAAATTATTTTTGTTGCATATGAGTTTTGATTAGTGGACATGGCTCCTTTTTAAAAAAATTGCTCAACAGATTCTGGGAGAGAATTTCTCTGCTTTTTTGGATAAGGCAGCCTAGGGTACATGGAAGAGTGGAATAGGAATCATGGCACTTGGGGATTAGGCTGAGGGATTACCTTAAAGGAAGGTAGTCAAAATAAGGAGAAACCACCTAACTCCTAAAGGGCTCATTGCTTAGTTGAAAAATAGGGATCAGGTAGACTTGCTCTGAGGACAAACCGTACTTACAGAATTTTCACAGCTACATAAAAAAGACTGGAAAGAAATAATCTGAAGTGGCAATATTTGGCTCTGAACTGTAGAATTACGTTTGCGTTGTTTCTCTGTTCTATTTTATAAATTTAACACCCTCAAAAAGAGGAAAACTAAGATAAATTTCTTTTAAAAAATGAAATCGCAAAAGAAACGAGAAGCCTGGCTCTCTCCCAGCATTCTAATGGGAAATGATTATAGGGTTCTACAAAAGTGTCTGAGGGACTCCGTAGGGATGAAAGGTTTTTGATCTCTTTAGGGAGTATTGTAGAGAGTGGCTTTGCTAGAGCGCCCAGCTCTCACAGCCCCTTCCCTCTGTAGAGGTTGGGCTCCAGGACCTTTGTCTTGAGTGGTGAGCGCCCAGCATGCAGCCAGGAGCACTAGCAGTGGGCACTCTCTTACGGAGCACCTTTTAGGTCTGAGGCTGACAATTGTCCTGCCTCTTATTGGGTAAGCTGTCAGGCCTGTGGGCCAGCTGCCTTTGCTTTACTAAAAGGAGGCGGTTCATTCATTCTTTCGCTGTAGATTGTCAGCGGAATAAAGCAGCCTAGTACAGCCTCGGGGACAAAAGCTCTCCATTAGGATTACACTGCCAGGTTGGAGAATGGCCCTTTCAACACTGTGCAGCCTCCAATAGGAGCTGTACTCAGCTGACCACCTTTATGCAAATCCCTCTTCTTTGTCCAGAGCCTGCCCTGTGACAGAGGCCAGCTAAGCCTTTCTGGGCAATAGGCTTTGTGCAGAGCTTGGAGGGAGATCGGCCAGGTTAGGTGTTTCTAGGAAGAAAAGCAAATTCAAATGGTTTTGTAAATGCCATTGCTGATAAATTGAACACTGACAAAACCTTCTTGCACTTAAGATATTATTGACGAAGAACAAATTATTCCTCAAAAGGAACAGATTGACATGGCATAGAGTTCGAGAGTGTTGTGTTGTTTTTGGACATTGTGCAAAATATATTATGTCCTTATCTGTTTTTTCCGTTCTCTCCCAGTTTTCCTTCCTGATCCTGGGCTTCCTCGTTTTTGTCCCGAGTTGGGAAAGCTGCTTCGGCTCTGCTCACCTCCTCACTTGCTTTGGCTCTCTTCTCTCTCCTAGATGCTGCTTACTCCTTCCATCCTTCTAGTTGAATGTGTCTGAGGTTTTATCTTTTCCTCCTTGGGTCACTCCCTTAGGGCACTTCAGTGGTTAGTTGAATTCAAATTTTTCCCTCTGCACGTGTCTTGTGGAATCACAGACTCTCCAAGCAGGACCCGAACTCCAAGTCATCTGGCCAGCTCTCTCTCATGTCTGTAGTCAAATTGATACTTCTTGTCAAATAGAAGGGGTGTTTTCTTGTGTGTTTCATTGATGTCTAAACATGCTAGAGAACCCAAAGCTGGTGAATTTCCTCTCCAGACTCTTCCATAACCCAATTTCCCTTTAGTAAAGAACACCTCTGGCCTGGCGACCTTCAGCATTTCAGCCCCTGCTTCCCGCAGGCCCATAATGGTAGTATCACATCTGTCTCTTAACTTAGTCTTTGTCCCTTCTCATCTTAGTCTGCCTTCTTTATAGCATGTCTGAAATTCATCCTCTCTTGCAACTTTCTTCTCTTCCTTCTGCAACAATTACTTTCTGAACTCAAGCCTTTCCTCAGCCTGTCTGCTTGAGCTCCCTGCATTGTCTCTAAAAGTTGGTTTGATCTTGTTAGTCTCATCTCAAAAATTTGCAGTAGTGCCCAGCTATCTAACAAATTAAATAAAAATGTTAACATCTTTGGTTAGAGAACCCAGCCTGTCTGACCACATTGATTTTCCCATTTCATTCTTTTACTTTTCAACATTCCAACTGCTCAATTTTTAGAGAATTGTTTTGACAGTTATGTAGTTCTTCCTTGAAATAATAATAATTATCATTTCTCTGTAGACCTTTTAGCTTTAAGGGCTGATGATGATAACAACAACAGCAACAGCAACAACAATGGCAATACAAACAGCTGGCACAGTGCGCTGCCCATAGTAGATAACTATTTGGGACATGAATAACTGAAGAAATATATGGAAGCACTTGAAATCACTGTAGACACCTGGATTTGTCCAGAAACCAGAGTGTAGGACTCAATGTCCTAAAAACAGAATTCTTGATTCCTCAGTAACTTCCTATGGAGTTAAGTAGAGCGAACCTTAATAAATATGGATTAAGAGTGGCCTAGGGGCTGGCCCATGGCGGAGTGGTTAAGTTCACGCGCTCCGCTTTGGTGGCCCAGGGTTTCACCGGTTCGGATCCTGGGCGTAGACATGGCACAGCTCATCAGGCCATGCTGAGGCGGCATCCCACATGCCACAACTAGAAGGACCCACAGCTAAAATATGCGACTATGTACTCGGGGGATTCGGGGAGAAAAAGCAGGAAAAAAAAAAAAAGATTGGCAGCAGTTGTTAGCTCAGGTGCCAATCTTAAAAAAAAAAACAGGCGTGGCCTAAAATACTCCAATACAATCTGTAATATTTTTAGGTCCTTTACTCAAATTCAGTATTTCTGTCAGTTTATGTATGTGGATCTTCCTGTTTAGAAAGTTCTGCTATCAATATTTCCAATATTATTTTCTTTAGTTTGTTTCGCCAGTTGGCTCTCAATATTTTAAACTGAAAATGAACTGAAGACAGAGAAAACTTACCTATCAGATTCTTAAATGATTCACTAGATCTCTTTAAATGGTTCATTTAAAATATGCCTTCATGTAAAGAGAGATGTCTATGTACATATTAAGTCATGTCTCCTATAGTTTTTCCTACATTTTTTCTATATCTTAGGTCATTCTTTTCCTGAATCCTAGGGTCTCTGGAGAAAGAGAAAGCTCTTGACACAATGCTCAACCAGCTGAATGTGATTTGTTCCTCATAGTTTTACAGGCTGGGTTCAGACAATCATGCATTGTAGAGAAACTAACCCTGTTCCCTTCGCTGAGGGGAGAGACTGACAACACATGATTTTCATACAGTGCCGAGTAGGGCAGGTGCCATCCGCGGTACAGGAGAGAGGCTCAGAAAAGACTTCTTGGAGAAGGCGCTTTAGAGAATGTGACTTGAAAGACAGATATGACTTCAATCAGTAAAGTCGTGGGGCAGGGCATTCTAAGCAGGGAGACTCTCATGAGCAAAGGCTGGGTGGGGGGGAATGAACAGCGTGTGTCTGGTGAGTACTTCCTGGAATTCAGAAGATGTGAGCAGTGATGTGGCTGAAAAAGTGAGTTAGGTCGTATCATAGAAAGCCTCAGGTGACAGGCTGAGATAATTTTACCATGAGTGATGCTTAAAAGCTGCAAAGAGGAGAACACATGTGGCCATGATACAAGAGCACATTCAATACGTATTTGTTGAATGATCACATCTTAAACCTCTTGTATTTTCACTTTACTAACTTGATCTTATCTGCAATGAGGAAAGATAGAATTAGCTTAGTAAATTTAATCAAACCAAACCTGTCTAACTAGGTGTGCTCCAAAGTCCGCATTACCACTCTTGCTTGCTTCATAATGATTTCAAGTGACAGATCTTGTCGGAGGATCTTCCTCGAGGTCAGAACCGTGCCATACAAGTAGGCCTGGATGCTAGTCACCAGTCAAGTAAGCATTGGGCCTGAGTGCCACGGCAGGCACCCAGCTGGGTTCTTGCAGATGCTCTTTGGCTAATGTGAACTGAAGTCATCTGTTGAGAAGTGGCCCCAATTCCCTTCAGTGGATGCTCCTTGAGCTCCTACTCTGTGCCAGGTGCTGGGGACAGGGAGGAATGAGACAAGATTCTGGCCTTGTGCTCATACTCCAGCTGGGGAGACTGACAAGGGCTCAAATGGTGATCAGGCATCCTAGAAAGTGGCAAGTGCCCTGAGAGAGTAGTAGGCAGTGAGCTTTAGAGGGCTCAGGGGGGAAGAATCTGAGGATGGTATGCACCAGAGAGCATTCTATGTGACTCTGGAAAAACTTGAGAAAAGTGGTATCTTTTTGGATCCAAACCCATGTATCCAGATTCCCAGATGTGTTCAGGCCTCATAAATACTTGGGGTATATTTGCCAAACATGAGAAACAGATTTCCATTTTGAGACCATGCTATTTGGCTTCAGCATTGGTACCATCCAGATAGTTCAAGGATTGTGTGTCTCTCAGAGAAGGCAGGAATACTCTTTGCCTAATGTGAAGCAAGTCCATAGCGCCTGTTAGAAAAAATTCCTGAACGTCGATACTCACTTCTGTATCTATACACCAAGTTAAGGATTACAAGTAAAAGTTTCTTTTTAATTGTACAGAAAGTAGAGTTTGTGTAGAGGTTGTCCTTAACATCATCTCTAAGGCTTGTCTCAAGGCCAATGGACAAGGTAGCATCAGAGAGCTCAGTCTCTTTGGTCAAGTAAGCTGCCATGGTGATTGAAGGGGGCTGGAATTAGGAGGAGACTAAGGAAATTTGACTTCATGCAGAAGCTAGAAGAACATTCTTGGGTGAGGAGTAATCCCAGTTTCTCCACCCCATAGCATTGCTATGAGAATCATAGCACTGTATGTAAAAGTCAGTTCTAACCTGGAAAGTTTGGTAGTTGAAAAAGATTCTCATTGTTATTTTAAATGTGCGGTTACGTGATTACTGACATCCCTTGAGTTGCTAGAAGGGCTGTTTTTCGTCTAAAAACATCTCTCTCTTCGAAGGTCACCTGGAGAGACTATCCAGTATCCACAGACAACACTCATCAATTTCTTCATCTCTTGTTCTTGGGTAAGAAGATGCTTTTTACTTTTTACACTTTTTTATACTTTTATATTTTACTGTGCACTTGTAATCTAACGGAAATAAGAGTCCTCTGTGTTTTGAAACTGATCGGCAAGTTGTAAGTGATGGGGGACAATCTAAGTAATGAGCTGCATTTTTAAATAATAATAACTCCTGAATTAGTCAATAATTCATACAATCAAGACATGCCCAGTCAGGTTTAAAGCACAGGTCAAAATGTAACATCATTCAAGTAGTCACAGTTGATTCTTAACACTAGTGAATTGAATGCATGTGAAATTGTGTAGCCCAAATAATAAAAAATATCTGTTTACAGATGTCCTTGATTTTCACCAGCTATGGATTTAAAATGCAAATCATATTTTATTTTAAGGGGTCCTACTTGGTCACTCTAAATGTAGTAGTCTACGCATTTCCTTGAGAGAATTATAAAATCAAGTGAAGGAAAGAAAAGATGTTCTGGTTTTGATCAATTGGAGATATTAGATCAATGAAACACATGCATATGTGTGTGTGTGTGTGTGTGTGCACGTGAACTCGTAGAACAAACGCAAACAGAACTGAACGTGAATGTTAATTTTATTGCATCTAATTTTCTACTTATATAGCTATGTCTATGATCATATTCTCTCATAAATGAAAAATCAATCTACATATTTCCTTTGAACTATGACGTGTGAAAAAATCTGTAACCTCTATTTATTGCAATAAATGTAATTTGGTGTTTAGGTTCTCTGGGAACTGATATTTCTGTAATGAAAAAGTGAACAAATATGGAAAATAGGTTTATAAATCTTATGATGTAACAGTTATACTCATTCTCACTCATTTCTTTCAAAGGGGCATTTCCCAGGTATGCAGCTGGTCAGTTCCACAAATATATTGTCAAAAATTGCGTGGAACTTACATATCTTGCATGCCAAGCTGCTCATTTTATGAAAATATCTCAATAGAAACACAAATTGCCCCAGTGCAGCCTTGAAATTCCATGGTGGGAATATTTCCTTAGTATCAAAATTCCACTGTGGTGGTACACCTGGTGAACAGATTTTACCTTGTTTCTGGCTTCAAAGTTACTTAGATGTTAGGGATCAAGGACATATTAATTTATGGTGCATATTGTTTGCACGAAGGAGAACATTATTTTACATAGATAATTCTGGGAGAGGTATATTTGTAATGCACAGTCTTTACAATTGTCCTTTTTTATGTTGGAAAAAAGTCTTTTCTGTTTTCTTTTTTGTTAATTTCAGCTTTATTGAAGTATAATTGACATATAAAAAATTATGGAACACTTCACTAATTTTATGTCATCCTTGTGCAGGGGCCATGCTAATCTTCTCTGTATCGTTCCAATTTTAGTATATATGCTGCCAAAGCGAGCACTCCTTGTGATTGTTCTTTAAAAGAAAGGTTAGGTGAGAATCCTTTATCTTTGGGGCGTGTCCCGGGTGTTCGGGCAGGCTAGGCTGGAGACCATTTTGGAAGCACCTTGGACTGAAACCAGTAAACCTATTAAAGACGACCTCTGTAATTACCACATTCATCTTTCCTGGACCCTTCATAATCTTTGGGGGGATCCCAGACTGGTATTTTTATCCCAGAGCTCATTGAATATTTGTTAGGTTTCAAAAGTTTCCTGTCTGTCATTCATAAGCAAAATGCATCTTGCCGTCGAAGATGCTTGAGGATGGGAGGTAAAGCAAAGCAAAGGCACACTGAAGGCATATTGGAGGTACCCAGTGCTCCTGAACATATGAAAAGCCCTGAGATGTCTTGTAGTCAAGAGATCTGCTTCACTCTATTTATCACAGCATTTTCCAAATTTACCCAACCAAGGAACACTTCATTTTTATTTTTGCTTCATACCTATTAACATCCCTTGGTGTTAGTGTTCTGTGGGAGCAATGACCTTTAGGGAAGTCTGGGTTACTCGTGTGAGGCCATTTCCTAGATGTCAGCAATGGCTTCTGGCCCCAGTGTTCTTGAACTGCCCAGGCATAAGATTTACCAGCCATTTCTGAGCAAAGAGAATACCAGTGGTTAATCGCAACTTCAAACTTCTTAGGATAACTGGCCATGAAGGTTTGCACTCATTTAGGCTCGAGCACGTTTGAATGTAGCAAAAATTCCTGGCCTATCTCCAGGAGGTTCAGAAACTGATCTTAGAGGCTTAGCACTTTCTCTGCTGCAGAGATGATGGAAAACAATCCCAGTCCCTAAAACCGAAAATGAGATTTGTTGACACAGTCCCCTCTGCTGTTACATGCTGCTGAACAAGGATGACATTCACCAGAGATCTTTCCGCTCTCCCTTTCCACTGAGTGACTTTGAGAGGATGGACTTTGGCAACTGAGTCCATGTCCTTGCAAAGGAAGTGTGGGGACCAGCATAGAATCTGTGGCAAATGAAGAGTCTCCTTCTCTTCCAAGGAAGCCAGGAGGGTGTGTTGCTTCAGAGAAGAGTTAAAAAAATGAGTTTCAGAATACGTTATTTCATTTTTCTTTTTTTGAAGAAACATCTGTTGAGCCATTTGGGTCATAGACCAAATCCAATTCCATATTTCTGAGAACCAATCTTTTTCACTGTAGAAAAGTGAATTTGTGTATGGTTTGACAAATTAACTTCTCTTTAAGGAAACAGTAAAAAGTAATTTTCCCATTCATTTAAAAATCTTTAGCATCAACTTTCAGTGAATTTTCTTTTCAATGAATATTAGAATTCTATTTAATACATAATTCTAATTTTTAAATTTGAATAAGTCAGCATCTGTTTATATTGCTTATAAGGTAGATATAATGTGGACAATCTCATACCAAATGTTTATCTTATGAGCCTGTAAAGACTCATAAGTAAAAATTTGAAAGTTTAACGTAAGCCTCTTACTTAGTTGTTGTATATCTTGGCCATTTTTGTGAAATATTTGAATTAAGTGAGTGACTAGAATAACCTTTAGTTTCTATAAATTATAATATAATGGGCAATAAAGTTTTACCCCTACATGAGTAATAATGGAAGAATTTTTAAAGTGTTATGCACATCTGTAGAATCCAAGTCAAACGGTAAGTTAATTCTCAACGTTTTTAGAGAGCAAAGGAATAACTCTGTAGGAAGCCTAAAAGCCATAGGCATTTTAGGGAAGGAGGCATCCGGAAATGGACATGAGGTAGCATGGGGATAATCTTGATTCAACTCTAATTTTTTACGTAGTTTGCAAATTCCAATGCTTTCATTGATATTAAAGCATGATTGCTTCATTTATTCACTCATTCGATACCAATTTTTGGACAAAAGTGAGGATGGAAGATGAGAGGTCCGGGGAGATGTATAGGCAAGGAATAGCTTTTCGATTAGCAATTCAACTTAGGGGCGGGATGGACCCTGGCAGGCTGGAGTGTCCCCCTGAAGTTCCCACCTGTGGCTCAGCCTATCCCTACATGCCCTGGACCTGGGGACCTATCCTAGGGAGCCTGGATGCTGAGTTGCTCCTGCGCATGGGCCCTTATGCATCCAGGACCTCTAGGCCTGTGCGGACAATGCTCCCCAAGACCAGCAGGCCATCTTTCTGGGGCCAGCGGTTCCCCTCACAGGAAAAAATTCTTTTCTGGAATTTTGGAGGCTGTACTTTACTGCTTTACGTTAATTTTATTAATAGACAAGATTACACACATTGGTTTTCCTCAGTGGATTGAAATTGAAGTTCTATTGAAATATGATGGATCAAAATAGCTTTTCTTTGATAATGGTTTGCTCTCCTCTGCTCTGTGGCAGTTTCAGGTCTACTTTCTCTGTGGTTCTAAGAATGACAACCTGAGCTTTTCACTACCCAGCGAACCCTCAACTTCACTCTGGCAGATTTCAGGGGCTGGCATTTAAGGAAAACCATGATTAGTTTCACTTTGATGCTCCCCTGCTACCTATAACATCAGATGTGGCTTCTGCACCTTTGTTCCTGTGTTCTCTCTGTGCTCGTCATCTCTTTTCCCTCCTCTCAGCTTCTAGAGAACTTTATGTGAATTCAAATTTCGTCACTTTTGACCTTGTATTCTGGTTAGTTATCTATTTACAAATGTGATCTCTCAAAGGGCAGTCCATATCAACTTCATCTCTCTATGTCCCAGAGTCTGCCAGAGTCCACACTTAGAAAATGTCTATCAAATGTCAAATGAATAAATGGAATGTGACTTACACACAACTCTTCAGGAAAGATATGTTATCTGATGAGGGGAAACATTCCTTTACTTCTACAGTTGAGTGTCTGCTTTTTACTAAGAGCTATCTGGCAAGGAGAACCAGGATATTAGGATATGGGATTTTCTCCTATTGACCTTTTCCTTTTAACATCTTCCCTTTACTCCTTTTCTTACAGATGAACTATCAGTTATACTTTGTGAGTTTCTCGTTCTTCATTTTTGATAAATTCTTGGGTTTGTTTGTTTAGAGATGAACCAATATTGGAACATGGGAACTAGATGATAAAAAAGGGGGGAGGAAAAGAGCAGGATAGGGGAAGAAAGTGTCCACTGACTAAGCCTGGAAAGAGAGGCAATGCACAGCTAGCTCTTTTAGCTGAGTTTTGCACAGCATCAGTGAGTAGCTGGAATAGGACAGAATTATGATGTGTGAAGGATAGACAGGGAAGTTTTTCTGTGTAAATATCTGACTCTAGGAGACTTAAGGGGCAATATTCTCAGCAATGTGTTCTTGGGTCTTGAGTGGGTCTAAGAGTATTAGCCTTGGTTTGATGCCGTAGTCCGCTTGGATAATGACAGCAAAACACACCCAAAGGGGCTTGGGAGAGCTCTTGAGTAGGAGAGAGTTGTATTAGGGGCTTGGAACTCATCATCTCCAACCACTGGAGGGCGGAGAGGTGGCAAAGAGTTGATGGAATGCACTTCAAGATTCTTACTGCTTGCAAAGTCCTAGTGCTGCTGCACTTCAGCCTTGATGCTGTCTAGAGTCTTGAAGTACACTGGACTGTCACT